GGATGGACGGATGGATGGATGGATGATGGATGGATGATGGATGGATAGATGGATGGATGGATGGATGGATGGATGGATGGATGGATGGATGGATGGATGGATGGAATGTTTGCAGTCACTTTCAGGGAACATTCTGACCGTGTTGCTCCAAACACCCCAGCGAGTGAAAAGCACACACTGACACAAACGTTTCACCCGAGCAGAAAGTCGTACTGCTGACGTCTGTCCCTGCCTCGTCTGTTTGCAGGTTAAACTCAGCCTGCTGCACAAACAACACGACACCGAGCGTCCAACTCCGGCACAGCAGGAAGCCACTTAATGTTCTGAAAGCAAACAACTCCCAGGTACACGGGCGTGGGTAAGTGCAGAGCTAAACGCACCAAAAATGTCCAGCACGTCTGCCAGATGTTTCCTCACATCTTGTACCTTCCATGAGCTCAGACACGGTCTGAACGTCGCTCGTGAACCCTTTTTGTTTCTCAGCAGGCATTAAACTGACGAATCAGTCTCTCCATTTTGTATTGCCCACTATCATGAAAGGCGGATAATAATGGAACTGTCTGTGTGTGAAATGTTTGTTAGCAAAATATCTAGTGACATCAGGACAGCCTGTACACCTCGAAAACTGATTACCTTTTTAAGTTGACCCAATTCAAAATGGCTTCCACAGCTAATTAATCTCATTACACACAAAGATTACTGTAAATCCACCAGTTTTACACATTTTGAGCTAAACTTTGATGTAGTAGCTGAGAGTCATCCCCTGCTCATACTTTGAGCGCCAACAGAACGTGCTTCGTTATATTTGCCCGTTAGAGTCCACACCAAGCAGCTCTGCAGCTGGACTGAAGGAGACCCAGAGACCAGGTCCCTCCGTGATAATCCACAATGGACCATCCCTCTTCATGCTCTGACCTTTTCATCGTTCCCCTTCACTTATGTGTCCACATGCATCCAAGCACACACACACACTTTTTTCGCCCTCTAATGTGCAGAAAGCCTGAACGTGCAGAGTGCGAACAAAATCATCTCATGCAGCATCTTCTGTCTGCACAGAAACAGAATGGATTCATCAGAAACACCTACACCCTTTCACTATCCTTGTTATAACTGTAAGTACTCTAGACACTATTGGAAGGCTTTTTGACTTCAGTCTATATGATATTCTGTACATATATATATATATATATATATATATATATATATATATATATATATATGTATGTACCAGAATGTTTAAAAAAAGAAGAAGCAAACTTGTAGGTCGCCCTGCTCTTCCACTTGGGTGGTTTCACTGCTCTTCAAGCTCGGGCCCTCTACCAGAGGTCTGGGAGTTTGCGGGTCCTGTTCAGTATCTTAGCTGTTCCCAGGACTGCGTTCTTCTGGACAGAGATCTCTGAGGTTGTTCCTGGGATCTGTTGGAGACACTCATCCAGTTTGGGAGTCGCGGCACCGAACGCTCCAATGACCACTGGAAATACTGACGACTTTCCACAACTTCTGTATTTCCTCTTTCAACTCTCGGTGTTTCTCCAGCTTCTCGTGCTCCTTCTTCCTGATGTCACTTGGGATTGCTACATCTATCACCACTTCCTTCTTCTCTTGCTTGTTGACCACCACAGTGTCCGGTTGGTTAGCCGTCACCTGTTTGTTGGTCTGGATCTGCAAGTCCCACAGAATCTTTGCTCGTCTATTCTCCACCGCCCTTGGTGTCGTCTCCCACTTTGACTGTAGGACCTCTAGTCCTAACTCAACACAGAAGTTCTTGTATATTATTCCAGCCTCTTGGTTAAGGTGTTCCATGTGGACTTCGCCTGCCTGGATCTTACAGCCTGATGTGTTGGACTGTCTCAGGTAGATCTTTGCACAGCCTGCAGCTTGAGTCTTGTCTGGTATGGTGGACCCCCGCCTTTAATAATCAGGTCCTCAGCACAAGAACAATATTTATTTAATCCAGCTGGCTTCAGCAAAGTTCAGAAGAGTTTCATAGTGAATGTGAAATACTTGGACAGTAAATGTGAGAGACTTTGGTAATGAACATGAAATAGTTTGACAGTGAATGTGAGCGCAGGAATAAATTGTGGCCTCAAATGTTTCTTACATGCCAGCTCTTGATGCCGTTCATTTAGTGGCAGACAGAAAAGAACTTACAAAATAAATGCACAAAATGTCTTAATTAACAGAAATAAACCCACATGGGCTTAATATTATTTTTAAAGTGTTTTCTCAGTAGTCTAATGTTCCTTACAATATGATGCAATGCACACAAACAGGAACGATGGTTTACCATCTGTTAACATCAGTCATGCGCTCTGGCGCACGCCTCACACACGCACAAACTCACATCTATATATGAACCAGGAGGTTCCACAGTCTCAGGTCTGTGGAGCCACATTTCCAAGTTTTCTTTCATCTTACTGCGTAAAAGCGACCGGCGGAGACAGCAGCGTGATCTGGACCCACCTGCAGCACAGTCTTCATGGTGACCGGAGACGCGACGGCCGTGCAGATCTTCTCCCCCTTCCGCGTCCCCTGACCCATGATGAAGAGCATCGGGGTCGCGAGCGCGAACGACGCGAGCCACATGGCGCTGATGAGCTTCTTGGTGCGGCTCCGGGACATGATGCTCTTCGCCTTGAACGGGTGGCAGATGGCCATGTAGCGCTCCACGCTCAGGCTGCAGATGTTGAGCGCAGTGGCGTACGAGCAGCTGTCCCGCAGGAAGTAGTAACCCCGGCACACGGCGTCCCCGAACACCCACGGGTGGTGGAACCAGATGAAGTTGTAGAGCTCGATGGGCATGGAGAGGATGAGGATGAGCAGGTCCGACACGGCGAGGCTGGCCAGGTGGTAGTGCACGGTGCTCTGCAGGTTCTGCAGGCTCTTCTTGGCCAGCAGGGTGTAGAGGGTGATGGAGTTCCCCAGAGAGCCCACGGCGAACAGAACCACGTAGATGACCGTGACCGCCACCTTTGAGTAAACGTTCGTGTTGACTTCCAGGTCCTCCTCTGTCGTTTTAGGAGCGCTCGTGCCGTTTTCAAACGAGTGATTCCCAACGAGTCTGTGCGCCAGCGCGCCAAACCCAACCAAGCTGTGTTCTGAGAGCGTGACGTTTACATCCATGGCGTTTTTAGATAGGGCCCGTGCGTGATGGTTCAAACTGGGAGGCTGCTGCGGTGAGTCCATCTTGAAGGAAACTGCGCGGAAAGTGTGAGCGGAGCTGCTTTTATATTTGGCACAGCGGAGCGACGCTGCTCCGATGACGCGCAGCCAGTCAGGGAGTGGAGCGCGTGTCACTTCACCGAGGAGACGCACGCAGCTTCAAACCAAAGACTCTGAAAACACGTTTTAAAATACAACGAGTGCAAAGCCGGAGGAAACAGGGGTGCTGAGGGTGCTGCAGAACCTCTGATGGATACAGGGGGACGTGTCTGTTCAATATAAAGAATTGATGTAAACATAAATAATAAAATAAAGATTTGTTTATATTATCACATTTTATCGATTTACAGAAACACATTATTGTGTTTCTATTCACCCACTTCGCATGTTATCAGCCATTAAATAGTCGTTATTAGTTGTTATCTCCATGTGTAGTGGTCAGACTGCCCCTCCTGTACCTCCTAGTGGGTTTAAAGGTACATTGTTAGCGATGATAACAGGCTCCGTTTTTACCTTTGTTAGTGCTCATAACAGCTTCACGTGGTTAGGTTTAGAGTAAATGGTCTGGCGGTTAGATTTAGGGTCTTGGTTAGGTTTAGGCACAACAGTAAGGGGGTTTAGTTTAGGGTTGGTCCTCTGGGTCAGGTGGAAGGTCAGGTTTAGGAAAAGAGTTACATAAGCTGAAAAAAAAAAGACACTTCCTGGTTACCTCTGTGCAACGCTGCATTATCAGCGATAATAACGATAATAACATACCTTTAAACCTACTAGGAGGCAGGTGGGACAGTCTCACTGCTACATATGGGGATGATAACAACTAATAACGGCCATTTAATGGACTGATAACATCCGGTCCCTGGGCCGGGATTTGATCCAGTGATCTTCTCGCTGAGAGGCAACAACTCTACCAACTGTGCCACCGTGTCACCTTTTATTGCAGTACTCTTCACATTGTTTCACCTCGCATACGGTGGTCTAGGTGCTCAAAGTGTTTGGACATTTACAAGTAAAATGTGTATTTCATCCATTCAACCGTTATTTACAGGTTAGTCTCATTGAGCCTCAAGGACTCATTTGCAAGAGAGACCTCATTTAAACAAAGAGATGAGGTACAAACAACAGCAGACAATCATATACAAGTATATAAAATGAAAAAGTAAATAGAAGAAATGACAAAAACAAAAACAAACAGCTTTATAAATTGTGTTTTTAGCCATTTGTATTCAATGTGGAGTCATTTGGATGAAGTATGAGAAGTGAAGTGTTTCAGGTGTTGATTGAAGGTGGAGCAAACAGCAAACGAACCCTTTCACAGCTGAAGTTCAGGCCTTCAGCTCATCGCTCCTGAGGTCTTTGTTGTTTCTTAAAAATACGTTTTTGCCCTTAATTTCTGTTAACGACCACTAACAGATGTTTCCATCAGCACCGACGAGGTTCATTTATTTTGGCAGTGGATCTTTTGGTTATTGCTCATGACTCCCAGTGTCAAAATTTGACACAAAGAGTCATTAACTTGTTTGTATGTGACTTTATTGTATTATGATTATAATGAAAAAACTAACAGTTTTTTTTATCCTACCACATTTTTGACCATTAAAAGAGAATGAGAGAATTCACACGAATAAAAAAGGAGAACTAGCTCGTACTTCAAATGAATCTTTTGCTATTTAAAACAAAAGTCTAACTCAGATGAACAAAACATGCTTGAACCATAAACTAGCACTGTTGTACGTCTGTGTGGATAAATATACAGAATATACAGCTGTTTAAAACCAAAATACAGCTGTTTAAAACCAAAATACAGCTGTTTAAAACCCAGTTACAGCTGTTTAAAACCAAAATACAGCTGTTTAAAACCAAAATACAGCTGTTTAAAACCAAAATACAGCTGTTTAAAACCAAATACAGCTGTTTAAAACCCAGATACAGCTGTTTAAAACCAAAATA